AGGGAGGTAGGGTTATCCTTCTTTCCTCCTCCTCATCCTCCTCTTCTTTCTCCCTCCCCTCTCCCCTTTCGCCCCTCCCTCTTTATCGTCTCTATGGGTCCCGGTCAGTAATAATCCACATATCCGTGATTTATCTCTCCCTCTCTCTTTTTTCCAACCTTCCTCCCCTCCCCCCTCCCTCCTCCCTCCCCCTCCCACCACCCCTCTCCTATCACGATTTCCCTTTTTCCACCCCTCTTCCCCCCCTCCCCCCCTTTTTTTTTCGCTGACTATGACTTATCATCGTCATTCTTATTTTATCTTCCGAAAACCCAAGGGAGAAAATTAATAACAACATCGTAAAAAGGAAAGACAAAAAAAAAAATCGATCACGAAAGACTACGACCGTTGTATATTTTTTTTTTTTAGATTTTTTTTTTTTCGATTCCTCCTCCCCCCCCCTCCCCCCTTTCCTTCGTCGGCTGACTGGTTGAATTACCCCGTCAGTACTTTGTAACTTCCGCACGAGCCTGTTAAGGTGATTTATTTCCGTTAATTGGCCTGTTTGGACGTCTGTTTGTTTCGTAAATGACGTCTGTTTGTTTCGTAAATGACGGTCTTACTGACTTAAACTGACTGATCGATTAGTTGGTATGTTAGTGTGTTTTTTTTCTGAATTTGTCTTTCTTTTTGGTGTTCTACGTTATTTTCTCTTCTTCTCTTCTTCCCTTCGTCAGAAATCATCAGTCTTTGCTGTTTTTTTTTTTTTCCTTCTTTCTTTCGTGTTCCAATCTGATTATCCAATTTCACAGAATCATGCCACTCTCTCTCACTTTTCATTCTAAATTCTGCCTCCTCTTTCGTCCCTCCCCTCACTTCCCCTCGTCCCTTGTTTGCTCAAGAACCTCGCGTCCTTCCTTCCTCTCTCTTTATTTTCTCCCTCTCCCTTTTTTTTAATACTCGGTGCCTTCCCCTTCCCCGATCCTTTCCTAACCCCCTCCCCCCCTTCCTTCACCGCCATCTCCCCCTCCCCCTCCCTCCACCGCCATCTCCCCTCCCGCCTCCCTCCACCGCCATCTCCCCTTCCCCTCCCTCCACCGCCATCTCCCCTCCCCCTCCCCTCCACCGCCATCTCCCCCTCCCCCTCCCTCCACCGCCATCTCCCCCTCCCCCCTCCCCCTCCCTCCACCGCCAGCCAGCCAGTGGTCCGGAACACTACCACATTTCCGACTCTCTGTGACGGGGCTGGACCCAAATGGCGTGAAGGATCTCTCTCACATAATCTCGGCTTCTCGCTCTCATGTCCTCCTCGCCCCCTCTATTCTCTCTTTCCTCTTTTTTCCTGTTTCTTGTCCCTCAGTCTTTTTATCTCTGTCATTCTTCTCTTTCTCCCTTTCTTACTTTCTCATTCTCTTTCTCTCTTGTCTTTTTTTCGTTTCTTTCTTTATTTCCTTCATCCTTCAAGTTCTTCCCCCTCTCCTTCCTTCCCTCTTTCCCACTCCCTCCTTTTCTTCCTCCCCCCTCTCTCTTCCTCCCCCCTTTCTCTCCCTCCTTTCCACTCTCTCCCATTCCCTCCCTCCTTCCCTCTCTCCCTCTCCTTCCTTCTCTTCCTCCCTCCCCTCCCTCTCTCTCTCCCTCTCTATACATTCCAGCCTTCATTCAAGTCCTTTCATATTCGTAGCGGGCACTCGAGAGCAAGGTGAGGCTGAGAGCGACCGACATGTGTAGTGTTCAGCTGGTCAAGTCGCGTCCAGAATCTGGCCTTTGACAAAAATTTATAGTTGTGCTGCTCTCTCTCTCCCTCTCTCCTTTACCTCTCTCTGTCAACTTTTCTCCTTTCTCCTTTTCGTCTTCTCGCTTTCAATCTCTCGTAGGAGGGAGGGGAAGGAGAGAAAGAGATAAAGATAAATGGGAAGGTAAAGGGAGAAATGGAGAGGGAGAAGGAGGGAGGGAGGGAGGGAGGAAGAGAAGAGAAAGAAAGAAAGAAAGAGGGAGAAAAAAAAAAGACTGAAAGAAGGGAAAAGGGCGAAAGAAAGAAAGAGACAGATTAAGGGACTAAGGGTGGAGTAGAAAGGGGGACGGGGGCGAGGGGCGGAGGGAAGAGGAGGGGGGGGGGGTACAAAGCCGATATCGACATCATGAAAAGAGGACGATGGAGCGAAGGGAGATCAGGGAGGAGAGGAACACACAATTAAATTAATCAGATTGGCCAGAATGGGAGACGTTATTTCCATCGGTGGGGGGTGGGGGGAGGGAGAGAGGGAGGGTGGAAGGGAGGAGGAGGAGAGGGGAGGAGGAGGAGGAGGAGAGGGAATGAGGGACGAGGAGGAGGAGGAGGAGAGGGAGGGAGGGAGGAGAGAGAGGGAGTGAAGGATGAGGAGGAGGAGAAGGAAGGGAGGGAGGAAGGAGGAGGAGGAGAAGAGAGGGATTGAGGGAGGACGAGGAAGAGGAGAAGGAGATGGAGGAGAAAGGGAAGATGGAGAGGGGGAGGGAGGAGCCAAGGATGAAGGGAAGATAGGAA